AACCCTCGGCGGGAGCGCCGCCGCGCTCCCAAGCGGTGCACTGTAGCAGTGCGCCACCGGGCCGGCCCCAGTCTTGGTTATTCTTGACCCTTTGCATTTCCCTATACTTTTTCAACTTACACACACATACCTGCTTGAATTTTAATTGAGACTATACTGAATCTATAGATTGTGGGGGGAAATTTAATCTTTCTTATGGTGTGTTTCAATATGGTAAAAAAGAAAAAAATACCAAAAATGTATAAGAACTCTAACCAAAAAAAACCATTAAAATGTTTAAGAGAAATTAGGGACGGCCCTGTGGCTCACTTGGGAGAGTGCGGTGCTGGGAGCGCCGATGCCGCAGGTTTGGATCCTATATAGGGATGGCTGGTGTGCTCACTGGCTGAGCGCGGTGTGGGCAACACCACACCAAGGGTTATGACCTCCTTACCGGTCACAAAAAAAAAAAAAATGTTTAAGAGAAATTAAAGAAGACCAAACTAAGTACAGGGATATACCATGTTCATGGATTAGAAGGAAGACTTATTCTACCAAGACACATTAAAAATTACATCCTGTAATTAATACAGTGCTGAACTGGTGCAAAATAGATTCTCTGTTATATATGGTTGGTCTATAAACAGATGTACACATAAAGGACACTTGATTTATGACAAAAGGAGTGCTCTAGGATAACAGGAAAAGGGATTTTAAAAAAAATTTTTTTGGCTGGATCAATTGGATACACATGGAAAAATTTGACCCTTACTTCATACCAATTCCAGATGGATTATAAATCTAAAAATAAAAGGTAAAATAATAAAGCTCTTAGAATATAACAGAGGAGAATATTTGCATAACTTTTGGTGTAGGCCAGATTCTCTAAGTCACAAAAAGCTCTTAAAATAAAGGAAAAGATTAGTAAATTGAACTACATTAAAATTAGGAACTTCTGCTTTAAAAGACACTACTAAGAGAGTGAATAAGGCAAGTCACAGAATAAAAGAAGAAATATGTAATCAAAAGAGGTCTTGTTCCTAGAATATATTTTTAAAGTACAAATCAGTATTAAAAAACAGACATCTCTCAATAGAAAAATGAGAAGAGACTTTATCAGAAATTCACAAAAGAGGATATCCAAATGTCCAATTAGTGTATGTTAAGGTACTCAATCTCATTAATAATCAAGGAGATGCAAATTAAAACCACAATATGAAAGTACTACATACCCAGAAGAATGGCTAAAAGGGAAAAGATTGACAATACCAAGTGTCAGTGATGAATGTACAGTAATTGGGCCTCATATCTGTTGGGATGAAGGTGAGTTGTTAAAAACCATTTAGGATCCACAATAATCAACCTCATTGTATATTGACAAAATAAAATTTAAAATAATAATAATAAATAAATAAATAAACAAACAAATAAATAAATTAAAAATAAATTTAAAAAATTAAAAAAAATAAAAACCATTTAGGAAACTGGCAATATATACTAGAGATGAACACATGCATACCCTATGGCCTACCAATTTCAACAAAAGATATGTATGAGAATATTTACATTAACCTTATTCATAATATCCAAGACTGGAAATAATCCAAATGTCCATCAGCAGTAGAATGGATAAATAAATGGTGATATAGTCAATCGATGGAGCACTGCACAGTAATAAAAATGAACAAACTTGCTACAGGCAACACATAAATCTCACAATGGCAATGCTGAGCAAAAGAAGACAAACACAAAAGAATATATACCATATGATTTCATTAATATACAATTAGAACAATCAAACTTTCCATACTATTACAAATCAAAATAGTTGTTGGCTTTATAGAAGAGGGTAGTGATTGTGAGGGAGCAAGAAAGAAGCATCTTAAATGATGGTAGTGTTTTGTTTATTGACCTGGGTAGGGCATAGATTAATAAATTTTGTGATAATTCATCAAGCTGTGAACTTTTCTTTGTATCTTATATTTTTTAAATTAAAATTAATTGATGAACAAAAAATAAAGCCTTTGTAATTTATAAAATATTTTATATTTTTATGATTTTGTAATCCAAAATACACTAATACTTGTGTTTCTCAAAGTCATAAACCCGAAATAATGGTATACTGAACTTTAGCCAACCATGGCACAATGGCTGAGACAAAACAACTGTAGCTAAATGAAACCAAAATTAAAATGTTTTGACCAAAAAATCCTCAAATGGTTATACACTTTATAAAAATAAAATAATTTTAGTTATTTAAGCAGATTGGTTTCTGGTGGATTGACTTGGCTCTTCAGAAAAGTAAATTTTTAATATAAAATTATTTTGTGTAACAAGAGAATGGTACCTTAGTTTGTGAATGGTATCATTAAAAATAATACTGTACAGTACACTATTATAAACTATTATCTTTAACACATAAAATAAATGTATATGTTTCTAGATTCTAGTCATTTTCTTTACTTACCAAATAAATTAGCACTGCATATGAAGCATACATTATGCTAGTTAAAGCAGTCTTTGCTGGAAAGGAAATGATTTCAAACAAAGAACCCTTTCTGGCCTGCAAGAACAAAAAAGATTTTTTAAATAAAATAATTAAAATTAAGAATGTTTCAATGTGTATCTTATAATGTTATTGTAAGATGAGAATTTAAAATTTTTTCTGAAGTCATCTATTTTAGAGCTATGTGGGCTTTTTCACATTGTAAAAATATATTAATTTACTTTTCTCTTTTTAACATAAAATACTTTTTTTTTGCTAATCAAAACCTGTGACAAATTTATAAAAACCTTGCATTTCTGAAATCTAAATTACTTTAACTTTTTACAATTACCAACTGTGCTCACTAGGAGGTGCTGCTGTGCATTTTAGAAAAACAGCCTTTTCTTTGTTCAAATTCATGTAATCCTTGACTAAATTATTCTCAGCCTCAATTACTCAATTAAGCAAACAGCAATCAAAATACTAAGCATTTCCTGGAGATTAATGACCTGACTGAAAATGCTAATCACGTGACTGCTGAAGGCCAGCATTAACCTTAGGTGATCATTAAGCCTCAAAAAATGCTCTCTGCTCACATCCAGCGTGCTTTTTTGAAACACAGAAAAGGTTTACACCAATAATGAATTTGCCTCTCAGATTCTAGTTTCTGGTAACAGTTGTCCCTGCCTCAAACACATCAGTATAACATATTCAGGTTAAGGGAACTATACTATCTCGTAGTTCACGTCTACTGCCTTGAGCAGGATATGAAATGAAGACATTAGGAAAAACATTCCCTTCCCATTCAGCACTGCAGTGGCAGTTAGCCACTCTGAAGAGCCAAGCCACTCAATGGCTTCCATGAACTTCCAAAAGATACAGGCTGTAGCTGATAAAATCATGTTTAAAAAAAAAATGCACACAAACTAGAAAGAACAGTGTGTACTTGTTTGTTAAAAAGTTATTTATAACATTGAAAACACTGAAACAATCGACAACAGTAAAATGGGTAGGAAAATTACGCTACATCCATTCTATGGTATATTATGCAGGCTTTTAAAAGGTGCTTCTGAGGAACATGTGATAACATTTTATTGAACAAACACCTATATGGCACTGTGTACGAGGTCCTGTTTTCTGTGCTTTATAAGCATTCTAATTTAATTCTTAAAAGAATCCTATGAAGTTGATATTATTATTATCCCCATTCCACAAATGGAGCAAATAAAAAAGAAAAGTAGGTAACTTGCCCATGGTAATATAGCTGGTGAGTAGCAAAATAAGATTTAAGCCAGGAACGGTACCCAGCACTTAACTTGATCATTAAGCTGTGCTGCGAACACAGCTGTGCTGCTTTGGAATATGCTGTTTATGAAGAGCAAGTGGTAAAAGGCAGAATTACAAGGATGGACTTTAAAGCAAACACATGTAGGTTCATTTCCATGTGCCAGGATTTATAAGTAATGAAATCTTGGACAAATTAATTCTTTCCTTTAAGCATCAGTTTCTTCACCTCTATAAATTGGGAATAATAGCTAATATTTATCTCATAGGTTTGCTGTGAAGATAAACAAGAAAATGGTTGTAAAGTGCTTAGCAGAATGCCTGTACATGGGTAGCATTAAGGGACAAGGTAGGCATTATTAACAACTTATGATACATGAGAAAGAGCAAGGTTCAAAACTGTAAGCATAACGAGTATGATTCCATTTATATAACATACAAACACAGGCCAAACTAGTCTATGCTGTTGGAAATCCAGAAAATGTTTATCCCAGAGAGGTGGGATTAGTGACTGGAAGTTAGCATGAGATTTCTGCTTACCAAAGTGTACTCAATCTATTAAAATTCGTTGAGCTGTCCTCTTCATGATTTGTGCACTATTCTATATACTTCAATTTAAAAGCTTAAAAATTCCATGTCCAATATTTTTATGATTAAAATGAACACAATTAACATTGCATAGAAAAAGTTTGGACAGAAATGCACCACAATTTCAGCAGCTCTTATGTTTTAGTAATATAGCTTTATATAGTTAACATTTAGAGACACATTATATGCCAGCATCTATTCTAGTGGCTTTACTTGCATTGTCTCATTTTATCCTCTAACAAACCTGTGAAATAAGAACACAGGTTTGGCCATCACATTTTTTTATTGTTCTCTGTATTTTCCAAGTTAAGTTGAAAAAGTACATGGTACTTCTATTAATGGAATTAAAATATGCATGTTCTGCATCCTGTTGGGGTATGCTCAGTTTTTGCTTACTGTTGGTGCTACTAAATGAAGAACAAAATTGCCTGTCACAATTAGGGAATTTATGGAATGCTGAAACCAAGAATACTGTCTAGCCTAGTAGCTAAGAGTAGGGGGTGGGATGGAGAGAAAGTAGGCTGTTTCCTTTTTTCTTCCTTTCTTTTCAGGCCATACCAACTCCTAGATGTAGGGATGGAAGAGGCAGTTTTAGCCCATTCCCTCCATAAGTCAACCTGGAAAGTTTCCCAGAGTTCCTGGAAAGAGATTTTAGGAAATGAAGTAGCTGCTGCTTTTTTCCCTCTTGCTAGAAGAATCAAAATGATAGCATGCCTTTGAATCCCATTATTATTACACAGACAAAGATAGAAGTAGAGAGCAGACTCTAGGACAAAGAAAAGTAGATACACCCCAACAAAATGCCTCCGAGCAGAGTGAAAAGACTCATGAACTTGTGAATATATGAATGCACAGTGGGAGGTCCATATTCAATAATTGGTAGGCCATATATAATAAAAATAAAAGTGATGTCTGCATGAGAAATTACTTTGTTTCTGATTCATTACATCTTTCTCAGTCACCTTTTCACTATTTTAATGCTTTTAATAAATACTTTCGATTCCTATAACAAATTATCCCCCCCCAAAATATATTTTCTCCAAAATTTATGTGGCTACTGGTGAGTTGCCATTTTTCAATTTTATGACTAATTTGCAATGCATGTTTTTATATTATAAATCATGCTGTTTCATTTTTGGCTTGCTTTTAGCAGGAATATTGTATGGTAAAAACTGGAATAAATAAACAGGAGAAATTTGGTAAATGGGAGTCTCTATTTAGATTGTCTTGGCCTATTTCAAAATTTTTATCTTAAAATTAATTTATCTTAAACTAATTTTTATGAATTTTATTTTATGTGCATATTTGAGTTGAAAGTATCTCATTATGTTCATATATTTCTTTTCTTAATTTGGTAATATTAACATGTAAAATATATGGATATCTGAACAGTAAAAACATTTCAACCTTTAACTAAACTTCCCTCATACAATTTTGACCACCTCATCTCATAAAAGTAGTATGTGTTCATTTTATTTTCATTAATAATGGCATAAATCACAAAAAAAAAAGCCAACTACAAGCAATCTAGAAAATAAAGATCCACTTATACCTAACCTGAAGGGTGGGGAATTACCAGACCCAACTCAGTTTACATTGTCCAAAACCACCTTGATGATACAGAGAGAGGCACAGGGAAAACTCTAACTCAGTGATTCACCGACAAATGTTTCAAGAAACACTGACTTCTGCTAATAGGTCCAGAAAAAAAAGTATTTCCCATAAGTTTGGAAAAGCTATATGATCATGTCTGTGCTTAGTAACTGCAACACTTTTGAGTACAGAAAAGACTCCTAGCAGTCCACAGTAAAGAAAGCTATTCAACTTTGTTTACCCTGGTGGTTAACATCCTGTAGAACATTGTTCTTGAACAAGATTTTAATCAGATGGTCCTGTAAAGGCTCAAATGTCCCCACCTCTTGGCCAACTTGCAGAAGTATGTCTTCAAGAGCCCAGGGGTTCTACTTTCTAAGAAATGTCCTTTCCCAGGTATGAATTATACCAGCCAAGTTAGCCCTGTGGCAGGCTTATGAGGGACCTACAGAGGTTCCTGATATTTATGAGGTTTACAGTTTAAACCCCAAATTGGAGTCTACCTTGGAGAGCTGGGAGTGAGGAAGAAACTTTACTTGGATAAGCTTCTAACCTTCATCCTGAAAAGAGAGTACAAGCTCACTGGGATCCACCTATGGCCCAGACATTTTAGAGGCTGAGGGTTTTCTTCACTTTTGTCCATATCTTGCCCTATACCACTCCACAGTACCCATACAAAGTAGAAACAATCATATCTAATGCCATTATGGGGATAACTCTGTCACAGGAAGAGTTCCTGGTCCTGTGGCCCTGCATTGGTCTGCCAAAATCAACAACTATGTCTGGAACCGATGTGTCCTGGCTGAAGTCAGCATTCACACTGATTATTTAGGTCATTGCAGCCCAGAGCAACTGCAGGCTTCATTCAGCCCGGCAGCTCACAAGGCTGAGCAGAAACACCTTTCTGTAAGCACTGGTGCCGGAGATGCTAAAAACCACCAGGTTGTTCTCTCTTCGGAGTTTTCCATTCCTGAGGCCTCTTACAGAACTAGCCACTATTAGATCACTGCATTCTCAGCCCTGCAGAACCTGGAGGGGTTTGAAGAGCAACCTGATTCAGCATCCACCGAGCCACGTGCAAAGGAAGCCTCTTTTAACAAGAAGGCAGGCAGGAGCCTTGACTTCATCTCTCTGCGCTCCTGTCACAATGAGCCATCAGAATCTCTTTAGGTCACTTGTGTCGGTTGGGTCTTTAGGTAGTTTATATTTGGCACAACATCTGTTAACATGCTAAGGCATATGGGACATGCCCTAGAACTGAACATCCAACCAGACAGGCCCAGGTAGATTGTCAAGGGAGCTCCTGGGCCAGCGTCTATTCTCTGATTATTCTGAGGCCATTATTATTTGCTTCATCTCAGACCTCTCCAATCAAAGGGCTGAGACACTATTGTAGTTGTAGGCAGTATCCGAATGAAAATGCTCCTCTACATCTGTGTTCTTAAGGAAAATAATCCACATCACTATTATTCCCAGCTACATAGTATGAGAGAATATAATATAATGATACTATACTATAAGGAGGTTTTGATAGAACCATTTAAGTTGCTCTGGGTACAAATGCATCTTTCCATCATTCACCACTCTTAGATCAGTGATCAGACAGAGCACAAGAAGAAGATCTTTGAAACATACCTTCAGTTAGGTTAGCCAGGCCACTTCTCTTCCCACAACTAAGTTTTCATAAAGTGATACCCTCCATGCATCCACAAAGTATATCCCTTGGCATACAATTCCAGCCTTCACCACTTTTACTTCCCCACACCACAGAGCTCCACCTCGATATGGGCAGCCTGACAATTCTTGAAGGAGTTCATGCTGGAATCCACTCTGGGTAAGCTGAACTCTGCCTGATGTAGTTTCCTCATGCTATGACACTTACCTTTGAGCTCACTGTGGTACCACAGACACACATCATTCACAGACCAATCCACTGGCCTCTGCCACACCTCATTCATTCCTCTGTTGTACCTTTGACTCTCTGGACCAATGTCTTTATATTCATCCTTCTATTTCTGTCCTCACTGAGCCTTTCAGATTTGAGACACATTGTTTTCTTCCTCGCCACAACTTAAGTTTCCTCTCAGTGGCAATTTTGATTTTCTACCCTAACTATAGTATATCACCCAGATAAAGCTTCTTCCTCACCTCAGCCCTCAAGGACCCTGGAGCCTCTGACCTGGGACTGTCCTCAATTGCCTCACTCCAGTCATATGGAACTACGTATCTTCCCCAAATAAATCACACGCTCTTTCACATCAGTATCTTAATACTGTTCTCTTCCTGGAATGATTCTCCTGCTTCTTCACTTGGCTAATTCCTCCTCCTCAAGTCTCAGATAGAGTATCATATTTTCTGGAAAGTCTACACTGACCGCTCTTTGGAATTCGGTGCCCCTTCTGGATGCTCCCCATAGTGCACTTAGCACACTTCGATCCTGCATTTGCTACACTCCACCGACATCGTCGGCTTATTTACCTCCTATCAGCCCCACACTCCACAGGGCGAGGGAGAGACACACCTGGATCCCTAATACCCAAAATGGTGGTTCTACATATCAGGTTTTCAATGAATATTTGTTGAGTGAGTAAAAAAATAGAATTACATTTCATTTACTTCCAAAAAGAAATTTCACTATTGTATATTAAAACTTGTAAAGGAAGACATCAAGAAGTAAAGCTGAAGGACATCTGGTGTCAGCAACATGGCAGACTGAGCAAATGTGAAAACCCGCACACAAATCACCTAGAAGTTATATATAAAATTAAACACAAAAAAATGTAATGCAAGACTGAGTTTATGAAAAAGAGAGAGAAACGCCCCCATGCCAGGAACAAAAAGCCAGAGCAGCAAGTGTGGATGCTTATATCTCAGGAACTCTGGGGATGTTACTGGGCCGTCCCAGTAACACAATAGCTGGGTGCTTGAGTTTGTAATACAGAGACTGGAGATGAGAGTTGGATGAACATGAGGTGGGGATTGGGCCTTTGCAGAGCATCAGTGTCAGTGAAATTGGTGCTCAAACAACTGCATCCACCAGTATAGGAAGAAAGTAAGGAAACTGATCTTCACATGGGGCTGGAATTCTCCCATGAGAGATTAAAACCCCAAGCCTGCACCTTATACAGAAGTCTGAGTTTATCCTGTCACTGTGATGCGGGAAAATCTAAGCTGAAAAACTTAAAGATTGGTCCCAGGTTGCTGCTGATACCCCGGGAGCAGAGCAAATCAAAGCTCCTTTAGAAGGAAAGTTTCACCAAGGTCAGAAGAGATTTCTATTAAGAAAAAAAAACTGTTGAAGAAGTTTAAAATAAAATTATAAAACATAAAACATAAGGAAATTATCTGCTATAAGTGACACAATATAGATCATAATAGTCAGAAAAATTAGCATCCCCCAAATACCTCAAGTAACAATCATTAAAATGACCATATTCAAATAAGTATGTTTAAAATAATTAAAGAGAGTTTTGAAAAAAAAGGAATAAACCTGTAGAAGACATTTTGAAAAGAAAAAAGCAGAAAATTTGGAGAAAACACCAGGTAGAACTTCTAGATGATAAATATAATGTTTTAAGTTTAAAATACACTGAATAAGTTTAAAAAGCATATTAGACACAGCTGGAGAGAACTGGTTAACCAGAAGTTAGATCAGAGAAAATTACTCAAGACACATCAAAGAGAAAAAGAGATTTCTTATATCAACCCTCTATAAAAACTATAGATTGGACAAAGGAAGGAAAGAAACAGCAATCAAAACATGAGATTCAAAAAGAGATTTCAGTGGGAATTTAAGATCTTATGGTTCTGCTACGTTTCTTTTTGATGACCTAAAGATACAGTAATACAGCCTATAGTTCTTAGAGGAATCCAGTGGTGAGCAGACACAAATGATTTTTTACTTTCTCAGACATCAGGTATTAGAAGGGAGCCTTTTATAAATAGTGTTCTCAGGCTATTCATATTTTAAATATCTGATGATTTCTGGAAATGTCAAAATCTTTGGTTAAAGAAAAACTCCTACATAACTGGTATCCATGTTATCTTCTTGAAACAACCCAAATTTTTGTTTGAGGATTCACACTTTCCACACCTCTTGGGTCATGTTGTCTGGACTGAGGTCTAACCCCAACTACAGGAATCAAGTCCTAGGTCAATCAGTGCATCCCATGTCCCTGGCTTAGAGGTAAGCCTTTCTCTAAGAGTGAGCTTGAGGACTCTGCCAGGAATGGTAGGTCAAGGACTCTCTCTCTCTCTTTTGCTGGAATTCAGCCTGGAAGGGTATAGCCCCAGGAACAGCTGCAAATCATCTTGCAACCATGAGGGGAAAGCCTGTCTAAGAATGGAGTCACCATAGAGAAAGCAGAACCAAGTAATGGAGAGACATGGAGAAAGTGGATCCGGAAGGCATTATGTGAGTACCTGTATCCCCCTGTGTCTGGAATCTTACAAGTCTGGATTGTTTACACAGTCTAATACGCTACCCTTTTGGCTTAACCCAATTTGAGCTCGGTTTTCTCCATCTTCAACAAGAGTTCAGATCAATTCACTCTTGAGTTTAGATGTCAGATTTTCAAGATTCTGAATCTTTTGTAGTAAAAATTTAGAATGCAGGGCCGGCCCGGTGGCGCACTGGAGAGTGCGCCGCTTGGGAGCGTGGCAGTGCTCCCGCCAAGGGTTCGGATCCCATGTGGAGACCGGTTCCCGCTCACTGGCTGAGCGCGGTGCGGGCGCAACACCGAGGGTTGCGATCTCATTACCGGTCAGTAAAAAAGACAAAAAGGAAAAAAAAATTTAGAATGCTTTGAATAATATCCAGATTGAAAAACTCAGAGTTCTGTGCCATAAAGTATACATAAAAAAAATTTGGTCCTGAAAAAGCCTTAAGAGCAATTATCCTTAACAAAATATAACAGAGCCTCAATAAAGCAATGCAGAAAATGTAATCTGAACTGTACCTGGATATTGATGAGTCTATCCAAATGAGTTTATAGTTAAATATATTCAAAATATCATGTCAAACAAAGATTATCTTGAAAACAACAAGATTTTGGGTAAAAAGGAATAAAACATGACCATTTTTAAGTCTGTAGTATTTCTTTTAGGTTTGACATAAGTGGTAATTTGCATGTTTATATTTAGGTTGAACCATTTGAAACTGACAGTTTCATATAGTTCAATCAAATAAATTAGAAAAAAAGTCCACATTACTTCCCTTTTCAGACTTAAGCCAGAGAAATATACTGTATTAGGAAAAGGCCCAACTATTCATTTCTCTTACTCAAGTGTATCTGTTTTACATGTAGGACAACCAAATGCACTATATTGTCACTTTTCAAATTTTGCAAATTTAAAGCCATTTCTTAAAAAGAGATCCACATTTTGTGTGAATGCAATACTCGCCTACCTGCATGTTATATAGGGGTTGTCTTGGTTCATTAACTTCCCTCAGTAGACGATGAGATATGTCCCTTAACTCCAAAAGTCTACATACAAGCTGAGGCTGCATTAGTTTGGCCACTGATTTGGAGGATCTGGATATGCTGTTTAATCCTTGAATTAATGTTCCCCGATTGATCTTGGCTAAAGCAATAGCCATTCGGATTTTAGATGTTTTCTGCACGGATTCTCTTTTCTGAAAAAATAAGCCTTTGAAAAGTCATTAATGCGTGATTCAACAATGCATTATTAAAATCTACTTCTGGCAGAGACTGAGTACCATACAACCACAGTGCGCAGGGGGCCATGCAAATACTCAGTGTCCAATGGTTACATATGCTCATACAACTCATTGATTCCTCCCCCCATGCCCTTAAATCATTATATGAACATATTTTTCCCTAGGAAAAATACCAGATTTAAAGGAACTAGCCAAAAGATATAATTTTTCATTTTTCTCTCCAGATTTATACCATTTTTGCATTGATTTTTAAAAGAGCTCTTTCAAAAATACACAAGAATTCTTATTCAAACATATTCAATGTTTGATTTATTTAAATAATAATACTTCTTTAAAACTGTTACAAGTATTTTCCCAGTTTACTTTTTAAAATTTAAATGATGAAATAGAACAAACATACAGTATATGTAATATATATATGTATAATTTAAAGAAAAATAAAACAAATTCCCTATATACTAATTAACAAGTTTTAAAAAATTTTACTCCTAAAAACTTAAGAAATTCTACCAGCATTCTTATGGAAAAAATGTATGGCATTACCAAAACACATTACATATAGTTCTCTGTATGTTCTACCAGAAAGTGAACCACAGGGAAATTACTTAAAACATGGTTAGATTTTATTCCAGGCAATGGCAAGGGTAGTTTCCATTATTTATTTAAATAATTTTATGTTATTCTGACTTTTAAGTATAAAGCTTGGGAAAAAGTATTAGTTAATAACACAAATAAGCAACTAGGCATCTCTAATATTTCTTTATTGAGTCTAAATATATGAATACAAAATATATTTTAAATGAAATTTTTGCTTACAAATAACACCGTGTATTTGTCTAAGAACTAATATGCAATGTATTTATTTTAAATGCCTCAACTTTATTCTGAAATAATTTTAGTATTGCTCTTTTTTCATCAAAGTTCAGGACTTGTTTTACTGTTCAGCACTTGTCATTGGAGATCACCAAAAGCTGTTCTAGCCTGTCCATGAGGATGTATTTTTGCATTTGGTGTCCTATTGTGATTTAATCTGTTAACTTTACTGGAAAAGTTCATTAATTCACCTGTGGTCTCAACCCTACTAGTCAACAGTAGAGAATGCAATCTAAATTGTGGGCTGCTACAATTGCTACAATTCCAAGGCACTTTATAGGAGAGCAATCCTAAAAGCAATTATACAGCTGGTAGAACAAGCAAAGTAACATGCAGGTGGGAGCACTTGATATTATTATCTATCCTTGTTGTGAGCACCCTTGGGAGAGAACCCACATTGTCTGCAGTATCCAAAGCTTCTGTACATACAGATTTAATTTCTCTTGTGACTTTATGCTTTGCTGCAGGGGCCCCTCCCAACTCCTCCTCAAGGTGGAGCAGCTGGAATAAGTTTGGTGTTATTCTGATTACAATTTACCTGTGTTTTCTCTCATTATAATGTATTATCATGAGGAGAGGGCTATATTGCCAGGGCAAACGGGAGGAGCATGTGTGCAGTCCACATTTACTGAAACCTTATCCACTTGTTCAAACATTCAGGGTTTGGGGGACCCTTCAGTTTTGCAGTTGCAAAAGTTTAACATTCTGAGGTTCTCCATTTTTTTTTTTTTTTTAAACAAAATCTTGATGCTTTGCACTGGTTGGCCTGGGTTCACTGATTTTGCATATCTATTAGTATTAACCGATCTTGAGCCATTCCCCCAAACACCACACTAGATCAATCTATTCAATCTTCCCCCTCTTTTACACTGTCTTTCTAAATTTTTATCTCTATAAAAATAAACCTGTTCATAATTGATAACCTGTTAATCAAAAGTCTAATGTAAGGTACACATAATTTGAGTTGATGAAAATATAGCATTTCATTATAAACAGTATTTTTAAAAAATTTAAGTGTGCATTACAATAATGTTTTAACATACGTTGTGTTATCTTTTCCATTTTGGTGTCAGCATGAACTCAAGGCTTGTTAGGACAGTTCAACCTGTTCTTAATGAATATCGTCTTTGTTTCCCTTTAAAGTTCAATTGTTACAATTTGATGACTGTGCTTTTTTACATGGTTTTAAAAATGCTTTTGTTCTTTAATACTTTCCTAGATACCTTTGAAAGAATTGTAACTTTAAAAAAAAAAATGTTTCTGCCCCCCTTTATTTCCCCTGCCACAACACATGGAATCAACTCTTTCCCAAGAAGAACTCCTCATTGTTTTAAAGAATAATATAAAAAAGCAAATCTTGACACCAGGTTGGTTCTTCCTGGCTCTGGGCGTATGAAGTTAACAAGAGAGGAGAAGCTACTTGCATTCCTTTACATGTAGAATAAGACTTTCCTTTTCAAAAAGGTCACCAATTTATGATGATGATGATTTCAATTCACTTTTACTTTCAGAGAGTTAACTTTTTTAACTAGTTCTACTAGGGTTCCCAAGAAGAACTCCTCATTGTTTTAAAGAATAATATAAAAAAGCAAATCTTGACACCAGGTTGGTTCTTCCTGGCTCTGGGCGTATGAAGTTAACAAGAGAGGAGAAGCTACTTGCATTCCTTTACATGTAGAATAAGACTTTCCTTTTCAAAAAGGTCACCAATTTATGATGATGATGATTTCAATTCACTTTTACTTTCAGAGAGTTAACTTTTTTAACTAGTTCTACTAGGGAAAAAATTTTTAATATATTTTTTTCATCGTACATGTTTTTGGGGTACGGTTTGTTGTTTCAATACATGCATATGTTGTATGATGATCTAATTAGCATTCTATCACCTTAACATTCATTTCTTTGTGTTTATAATATTCAAGATCCTCATTTCTGGCTATCTTGAAATAAACAGTACATTATTAGCTATTGTTGCTCTAAAGCACCAGAACTTAGTCTTCCTATCTAACTGTAACTTTGTAACTTTATACAGGTCTACCAACCTTTCCCCCCTCCCTATCCCCTTCTCTTTCCCTGCCTCCAGTCATCTCTATACTACATTGTAGCCACTGACCACTCTTGCCCCATCCCTCTCTCCCTTCACCCCATCAATCTCTAGTAGCTAATATTCTCTAGTAAGGAAAATTTTAAATAAAAGAGTTTGTTGGTATGTTTGTTTTGAGCTACCAGCTTTTTCCCTTGTCTGCTCTCTATGCTATACATTTTCATACCAAAACATCTGTGTCGATTTAAATGTTCACCCCAAATTGATAAGTCTTTATTTATTTTCCCCTTTTAAAACAAAAACAAAAACTCTTGGCCTAAGCATGCTGGAATTGGCTGCAAAGTGCACAAGTTTAGATAATTCCTCGTGTCATCGTCATCATCTGAGCACATCAGCAAATGCCAGAAGAGAAAGT